CCAACTTCCTTTCTTCCTTCCATCCCTCTTTCCTATCAATCCTGTCTGTCTATCGAGCTAGCTATCCACTTACCTGTTTCTGTTGGCTGCTCTCTATTTCATCTGGGCCAACAATGTGAGTAGAAATAACCATGAATTTCATTGGTTCCCAGGCCGTTTTCCTGAATTAGGGCCACTCTGATCTTGGCCTCCAGCCTGAACTGTGGGCTTGGAAGCTGGTGTCCCATCCTCAGCTGAGGCTTCTGAGGGTTCCACATGAGCTGCATGGTGACCCCAGGCCATAGGCACTGTGCTAAGTCATACCAGGGCATCAGCACATACCCAGAAACACACTCTAAATGTTGTTAGGCCTTGAAACCCTGCATCTCCGTCAGTGGCTGTGAAGCTTTGAAGAGGGAAGCTGTATGTGGGTTTGAAGATAAAGAACAGCACATAATGGCTCATTTAAGCTCTTTCTGTGTTTAGGCAGCAAAGGGGATAAGCCAGGAGAATGAGAGCCAGTGTCCCCATCAGTACCCAATGGTGGTGGCTCTTCCCTGGCCAGAGTTTCTGGGGCTGAGTAAGGCAGAGGCCTGTAAAGGGCTTGAGTAGTACCATTCAAGGTCTAACAGAGGTTCTCCAGGGGCTTTGGTTGTACCCATTGACCCTCAATGCCCATAGGAGTGGACATTACTCAGAGAAAAGCTCCTTCTTTCCCACACAGAGGTCCTTTCTGCCCGAATGGACTCCTGGAGCCAGGGGGATTCTGCTGATGGCTTTTCCAAAACGTTCTCTTCTTCCTTGCTGTCCTCAACCCCTTCTGCTGGGGTCTGTCCTTCTGGGCTTTTAAAAACTCTTGACACCCTTTCTGGGACTTCCTCGAGTCCGCCTGGGGACAGTGGGAGCACCAGCTATGGGGATGTACCTCCCCACCAGTCAGGTTGTCCTCCCATGGCCACTGAAGTTGACAGCAGCATTCATCTCCTACTCCAAGCTCCTGTACTCAGGGCCTTTTTTGTATATAATATATGAAACTCATCCAGTGGGCTGCAACCAAATCTGTGAGCCACTGGAGGTGCCCTGAAGACCCCCTAGAAGTGAAGGGTGCAGGTCACCAGACCACATAGGAAGGGTAGCCAAGCACCTCCCAAGTTTACCAGCCTCTGTTCTTTCTCTTTTCACCACCCCTCCCACCTCACAAAAGCCAGGCATCCTCTGACCCCTTCCCACTTTGACCATGATGCTTTACCCCAGTGCAGAAATCTCCAGGAACCAAGCCCAGGGGGCAGGGAAAGCCTTTATTGGGGCCCTCAGACCAGCAGCCCATCCACTTGCTCAGGGATGCCTTTCCAATCACACTGTGTTTCATGTTTAATAGTTGATCAGCAATTGTGATTTATTTCTACTCTTTGAACCAATTAGGTGGCTAAGATAACTGTAATGGTAACTCAATCTAGAAGACTAGAAGACCTTCTCACAGCTTCAGACACTGCATACGTTTTGTATTGTAAATAGGGTGCTTTTGGGGAAAAAAAAGAAAGATGACATTGGGAGCATTATCCGGTGGGGGTTGGTGGGATCTCCACAAGAACAGGGAATAATGCCAAATTCTGGTAAAGAGAAGCTTGCTCAACATTTTTACAATGGACAACATCAGGGAAATGGGCTCTGGGTGAGGAGCCCCTTTTCACCACGTGATGGCCCTAGTGTGGCCAGTGGTCCCCGGGGGTGGGGGCTCCAGGCAGCCACATGGCCCCTGAGGGAGAAGGCAGCCTCCTGGCCCCGAGCCAGCTGCGGCTCCACCTTCTGGAACAGGCGTGGTGGCAGTGGCTGGGTCCACTGCAGATAACGATGCTTCTAGATGAAGGCAATGTGGCCCCATCACACAACAGCCCCCATGGCTCTCAACAGCTTGGTGGGTGTCTCTCAGAGAAGTGATCTAGGGTCATAATACATAAGATGTTTGCCCTGATCGCAGTAGTGTCATGCTGTTTCCTACAAATCTGAAGGTTTGCCCAGGAGCCGTCACTCCTCCTCCACAGGGCTCACTCTGGCATGCCTCCCTGTCACACCACAGTGCTCTCCGGGATTCGAGGCTCAAGTCTAACTCATGGAAGTGGGTCAAAACCTATCTTTCATCGAGGTGTGGCATCTATTTTAAAAGTAAACTTTTTACTTTGAGATGATTGTAGATGCCAACACAGTTGTAAGAAATAGCACCCAGTTTTCAGCAACGTCTTGCAAAGCTCCAGCCCATCACACCCAGGACACCAGCACAGATGGAGTCAGGACACAGACTTTCCATCCCGGGGGTCCCTCGCTGTCCACTCCCTCTGGGCAGCCACTCATCTTTCATCCGTTGCTCTAATGTTGTCATTTCTAAATGTTCTGTAAATGGAATCACACAGTACGTAGCCTTTGGGAATGAGTTTGGAGACCAGCTTCTCTCACTCAGCGTAACTCCCTGGAGACTCATCCAGGTTGCTGGCCAACCGACTGGAAGAGATCCATATCTGCGCCCATTGCAAAGAAAGGTGATCCAACAGGATGTGAATTATCAAACAGTATTATTTATATGACATACAAGTAAAATTTTCCTGAAAATAATTCAAAACCAGTTGCAGCAGTATACTAACAGGGAACTGCCAGAAAGTCAAGCTGGGTTCAGAAGAGGACGTGGAATGAGGGATATCATTGCAGATGTCAGATGGGTCTTGGCTGAAAGCAGAGAATACCAGAAAGATGTCTACTTATGTTTTACGGACTATGCAAAGGTATTTGACTGCATGGATCATAACAAATTATGGATAGCATTGAGAAGATTGGGAATTTCAGAACACATAATTATGCTCATGAGGAACTTGTACACATAGATCAGGAGGCTGTTGTTTGAACAGAACAAGGGGATACTGCATAGTTTAAAATCAGGAAGGGTGTGTACTAGAGCTGTATCCTTTCACCATACTTATCCAGTCTGCATGCTGAGCAAATAATCCAAGAAGCTGGAGTATATGAACAAGAACATGGCACTGGGATTGGAGGAAGACCCACTAACAACCTGCATTCAACACGCAGATGACACGACCTTGCTTACTGAAAGTGAAGAAAACTAGAAGCTCTGACTGGTGAAGATCAAAGACTACAGTGTGAGTACGGATCACACCTCAACATGAAGAAAACGAAAATCCTCACAACTGGACCAATAAGCAGCATCGCCATAAATGGGGAAACGACTGAAGTTATCAAAGATTTCATTTTACTTGGATCAACCATAAAGCCCATGGAAGGAGCACTCAAGAAATCAGACATCCTATTGAATTGGGTAAATCTGCTGCAAAAAAACCCAAAAATCCCATAGCTGTGGAGTGGATTCCAACTCACAGCGCCCCTAGAGGACAGAGTGGAACTGCCCCCACAGCGGTCACATTTAATGCAGCGACCCTCTGAGATGCGCAGCGCTAGAGCAAACTCAGCGCGCTGTGCCCTTTCCCCAGGCTCAGTGAGTGCGCATGCGCTTGGGGCGCCCGCTCTCTGACCATGCCTTGCGCCTCCTTGCACCCAGTGCGATGGCCCTCCCGGTCCCTGGACCCGCGCGTCCTGAACCTCCTCGGGGTCGCACATGAACAGCGCCTGTCAGCTTCCTCACCCACCTTGCAGGCTCCCTGCCCCAAGCACGGGTCACACCTGACACTGTCCCTAGAGCTGAGTGGACACAGGGGCTGAAGACCTTGGATCTGTGAAAGTAAAGAGGAGGCTGTCCTGTGGACTCAGACTCATGGGACCCTGCGTGTGCAGAGTAGAGCTCTCCACAGGGTTTCCTAGGTGATGGCCTTTCAGAAACAGATTACCGGCTGGTCTTCGAGGAGCCTGTGCGTGGGTTTGAACTGCCAACCTTTCAGCTAGCAGCCCAGCATTTCATCCTCTTGTCACCAGCACTGGTTACTTCTGTGTAGGTGTGTGCTGGGAAGCTCAGGAATCAGAGCAGAAAGACGCAGTCCTGGACGTGCCACCCCGACGCTCCGCCCTCCTGCGTCTATGTCAACCGTCTCCCAAATACCTCCTGGCTGGACTGCAGTGGCGCTGCCACCTCCAAGCCCCAATTATCCGAAGGCTGGAACGTGCCAGCCACTCCCAGCGGCCTGAGTATAAATAGGCCTGGGTTGAGACCCAGGGTCCCTTTCTCTCTCCTCCTCTCCACAAAGGCTCCCTGAGACCACCCTCCCAGTGCCTCGGGGAGATCCACCCTTGTCCCCCTCCCCCATCCCCATACAGGGGAGGTGGGCACACGACCCATGGTGCACACAGCCTGGCTCGGGGGTCATGAGGCCTCCCCAGCATGGCGTACTGGCCTCTGGGGGGCTGGAGTATACCAGCTTCCCCCGCCTGAGGAATCTGAGGGTCTGGGGGACCCTGAGAGCTGGGCAGGTCTGAGGGTCTCTGTGGAGGACCCCATGGCCTGGGTGGGTGTGAGGGTCTGGGACTGGGTGGGTGTTTGAGGACCTCTGTGGAGGATCCTGGGGGCTGGGCAGGTCTGAGGATCTCTGGAGAATCCCATGACCTAGGTGGGTCTGAGGGTCTCTTTAGGGAAGCAATAGCCTCGTGCTGCTATCTGGGAAGCAGGATTTCACACCTGCTCTTGCCTTGGGTGGCCACAGCCCATTTATGGTGGAGAGTGAACGTTTACTGAGCTCAGGTACCCTGGTACAAAGATGCACCCTCTGCCAGAGGTGTTCTGCAGAGACAGAGGCCGGGGAGGGGTGGGCTGTGGTCTGGGGCCGCTCCCCAGCCTGCCTGACTGGGTCGTGGGGCATGGTGACGAGGCCGGGCACACGCCGCCCTGCCGCGGGCCACAGGCCTGGGCCCTCGGCCCCAGCTGCTGTCATCCACTTACCAGCTTTCCTTCCCTCCAGGTGAGTGACAAGATGTAGCGGGAGTGGCCCGGCCACCTGCCCCAGCTTGGCGCGGACCCCGCCGGTCGGAGCACACCCTCCAGGTGTCCCCTCCGGCCGCCTAGCCTCACGATGTCCAAGAAGGGGACCAGCAGCCGGACGCGCGGGGACAAGGCCGAGGCGCTCGCGGCGCTGCAGGCGGCCAACGAGGAGCTGCGGGCCAAGCTCACCGACATCCAGATCGAGCTGCAGCAGGAGAAGAGCAAGGTGGGCGCGCCGCACCAGGGCCCCTGCCGGCGGCTGCAGGACGACGCTGGGCCGGGACAGGTGGCAGGGCACTAGGGGTGCCGTCGCAGGCGCAGCGCTTGTGGCGCCCCAGGCCCTAGGTGGGTGAGCACTGTGGCCACCAGGCTCCCCTAGAGCTTGCCACCTGCAGAGGGAGGTGTGGCTGCGCAGGGCACCAGGGCGCGGGGACAGTGCGCCGGGGCCTTGCAGTGGAGGAAGAAGGGTTCCCTGGGCTCCCCGGGCCCCAGGCCCAGCACTCCTCCCTGGTGGAACCGCTGCCTTATTCCTCACTGGGAAGTGCGTGCTGTGTGGGGGCGACTCTGGCTCTGGAAGCTGAACAGAAGCCGAAGTTGGTGCGCCCCTCAGGGGGCCCCCAGAGTGTGGGGCGCCCTCTGCCCTTCTGCATTGTCCAGATGGGAGCTAGGGGATAGGAGCTGTGTGAAGTCCCTGTCACACCAGGTGGAAAGCCAAAGCAGCGACCTTTCCGATGCAGGGGAGCACCCCCAGGAGGACAGACCGCCTCTATGGTCCCCAGATTTGCCACCACCCAGTTCTGGCTGCAGCTTCGTTGTGCCCACAGTGCTTCCCAGGGCATCCCATGGCCTGCCAGTGGCCTGTGCTCCCTAGGAGCCCGCTTGCCTCCTGGCGCCAGCAGGACCTTTGGGGCTGGTAGTGGAGGCCGGACAATTCGGCCCCTCTTGCTATGGGACCTGTTTGTTAACATTCTGATGAGGCAGTACGCCCACTCGGAACAAAATCCCAAAGTCACTAAAAAAAAGGCACAGAGTGAAGAGATCTCCTTTCCTCCCTTCCCTGGCCCCCAGAGTCCCTTCCTGAGGTGAAGTACATACTGTCCACAGGTCTGCAACCTCCTCTTTCCCCAGACTTCACAAAGGAGCCGTGAGGGACATGTCCCATTGGTCACAAGCCTTAGGCTCTCCACTTCTGTGGCGTCACTCACATCATGCTTCCAGAACCTTCCATTGCACTTTTTGTTCCTTCAAGGCTAGTCTTATTTCTTAATCACCCTTCAGAGAAGGTATCCTTTTTTCTTTCTTTTAATTGTGATTTGAGCGAAAGTTCACAGCCCAAACTGGTTTTCCATTCAGCAGTTCACACACATGCTTTGTGACTTTCGCTGCAATCCCGGCCACGTAGCAGTGCTCCTCCCACGACCTCCCTGTGTTCCCCGTTTCTGTTGTCCTTCCTCCCTGGCCCTTCCTGCCTTCTGAACTTTCTCCCTGGGCAAATGCTGCCCTTGGGATCTCGCATAGTTGGCTGTGCTAAGGGGTGCACACCTCCCTGAGGTTATCGTTCAGCTCATGAGCCAGGACCCCTTCTTTCTAGCTCCTTATTTTCTTTGTGTTCTTTTCCTTGCTAGTTTTAGTTTATAAAATCCCTAGTTGCTCTGTTTCCACAGAGATTTCTATCAGTGTCTGGAATTAGAACATCCCCTTGCTTCTCTGGAGGAAACGCAGTGTTTCTATACCCGAGGACTGGACAGAGTTCCCACAGGAACATTGGGACTGACTGGGATTTGTGGGCTTGACTTGGCGAGAACCCTGCTAGTTAGCCACTTTCACTCCTCTCTGTGGGCAAAACCAAGTTGTCAGCACCCTCACCCAGCCTCACATGCAGCATGTCTTCCCCTCCACCCTGTCAGGCCTTCCCATGGTTTCCTGCTCCTCCTCACAAAATTTATAAAACACTGAATGTTTCTAAAGCCGAGTACACCCACCCACTTGATCTGAAAGACAGCGACGTACGTACGCTCCTTTCTTCTTTTGAGGGACTCACAGGGAGAAGCCAGACATCATCGGAAGCAGCTGCCATGGTTCCATGCCTCACTAATGGGAAATGGATTTGGAAAAGGATTTGACATTTTAAGAACATTTCGGAAGAGTCAGCAAGGTGACCAGAGCCTCCCTGGCTGGGCGCCCATGAAGACTGTCCTTGATTTTATTTTGCCTTGTGTGGGGATGGGGGAGTGGGGACAGCACCATTGTCCTACCAGTGGTAAGTCTTTAGCCAGCCTTTCCTGGGAAGCCCCATCTCCCTCCCATTCCTGTGTGGCCCCTAAACAGCTCCCTGAGGGGGTGCCCTTTGGACCATTCATCCCCTGCGGGCTCTGATCCATCAGATGAAAAAGAAAGAACAAAATGAACACGTGCACTGGGAGGGTGCGTCAGTGACTTCCACCCGCCATGCCCCAGCACTGCGAATGGTGAGCAGATAAAGCCATGGGGAACTTGAACCCACACAGCTCCACGTGACTCAACCTCCATGAAGGGACACAGACAGCCTGACAGACCTTGAGAAGATTGTCCCAGAGCATTTGAGAGATGTCTCCCCACAGCCCCACGGTCATCCCTTCATGGGTGCAGCCTCCTAGGGCATTGGGTGATGCAGCAAACAGTCTGTGACTTCTTAGAGCATGAGGTCCCTTGCAGCTGCCTGCAGTCCCCTCCTGGTCGCACCTCCACCTTTCATCTGCTGAGGCAGCACCTACGGAGGTGGGGCTCCTCCTCCAGGACGCCCCCCCCCCCAGCTGTCTGCTGGGAAGGCAGGCCGAATGCTCCATCTTTCATTCCATTTGCCCAGCTTTCAAGGTTCCCTGTTAACCTGAGGGGTGGCCGATTGTTTCGTCGGGACTAGGGAGCTCTGGTAACATAGTGCCTAAGGCACTTGACTGCTAACCAGCAGGCTGGCGGTTCAAACCCATCAGCCACTCCTTGGAAGGAAGATGGGGCAATCTACTTCCATAGTGATCTGCCTCAGAAACCCAAGGAGGGGTCGCTATGAGTTGGGTCCGACTCGATGGCACATAACAACAACATACGGATTTAGATATATTTGGTGAGTTTCCGTTTGTTGCAGATCTTACCCTTAAGCTCAAAGTGTCCTGTTTGTGGCTAGTAGGGGCCTCTTGATGGTGGTCCCTGGATCCTCAGCATCCTCTAGGAGTCGTCCTTGCTATGCGTCAGGGTGTTCCAGGCCCAGCCTACTCATTTCACTCCCAGAGTCTTCCCCACCCACTCCCACTCTAGTTTACTGGGGTGTCTGTGGTGTTTCCAGGTCACTATCAGGCGTCAGTGCTACATAGTGCACTGGGCTCGTCATTGTTTCAGGGCCTCCTCAGTGGGCAGAGCTACGAACATGCTCACACACACACACATACCACACCATACCACACACATACATACACACCACACATACGTACCAGAGACACCATACCACACCACACACACACATACACACACACCACACCACATAGGTGCAAGTGCACATACATGCACACCACACACATGATACACCACACACATCATGCATGTGCTGTTGTTGTTGTTGTTAAGTGCCGTCGAGTCGTTTCCAACTCATAGCGACCCCATGCACAGCAGAACGAAACACTGCGCGATCCCGTGCCAGCCCCACGATCCCTGCTATACTTGAGCCCATCATCGCAGCCACCGTATCAATCCATCTCCTTGAAGGCCTCCCCCTCTTTCGTCGACCCTCCACCCTACCAAGCATGACATTCTTCTCCAGGGAATGGTCCCTTCTTACAACATGACCAAAATAGGTGAGACGAAGTCTGGCCATTCTTGCTTCCAAGGAGCATTCTGGCTGCACTTCCTCCAGGACAGATCTGTTAGTTCTTTTAGCAGTCCATGGTACTTTCAGCATTCTTTGCCAGCACCACAACTCAAAAGCATCAACTCTTCTTCGATCTTCCTTATTCATTGTCCAGCTCTCACATGCATACCAGGCGATTGGAAATATCATGGCTTGTGTCAGGTGCACCTTAGTCCTCAAGGAGATATCCTTGCTCCTCAGCACTTGAAACAGTTCCTTCACAGTTGACTTTCCCAATGATACACGTCTTCTAATGTCCTGACTGCTGCTTCCGTTGGCATTGATTGTAGAACCAAGCAACGTGAATTCCTTGACAACCTCAATCTTCTCTCCATTTATTGTGATGCTGCTCATTGGTCCAGTTGGGAGGATTTTTGTTTTCTTTATGTTGAGATGTCATCCATACTGCAGACTGTATTCTTCAACCTTCATCAGTAGGTGCCTTGAGTCATCCTCACTTTCAGCAAGCAAAGTTGTATCGTCTGCATATCTCAGGTTGTTAATGATTCTTCCTCCAATCCTGATACCACGTTTTTCTTCATATACTTCAGCTTCTCGGATTATTTGCTCAGCTTATAGATTGAATAAGTGTGGAGAAAGAATACAACCCTGACGCACTCCCTTCTTGATTTTAAACCATGTAGTGTCCCCTTGTTCTGTTCGAACGACAGCCTCCTGGTCAAGGTACAGATTCCTCATGAGTACAATCAAGTGCTCGGGAATTCCCATTCTTCTCAATGTTATCCATAATTTGTCATGATCCACACAATCAAATGCCTTTGCATAGTCAATAAAACACAAGTAAACATCTTTCTGGTATTCTTTTCCTTGAGCCAAGATCCATCTGACAACAGCTATGATATCCCTTTTTCCATGTCCTCTTCTGAATCTGGCTTGAACCTCTGGAAGTTCTCTGTCAATATACTGCTGCAAACGTTTCTGAATTATCTTCAGTAAGATCTTACTTGCATGTGATGTTAATGATATTGTTCTATAATTTCTACATTCTGTGGGATCACCTTTCTTTGGAATGGGCACAAATATACACACAAAAATACACAGACACACACCACACACATACACTGCACACCACACCACATAGGTATAAGTGCACATACATACACACCATGCACATACATATACCACACACATACATACGCCACACCACATAGATACATGCACACATACACACCACACATACACCACACACATCACATATATACATATGTATATATAAGCATACATAGGTACACATACCACACACATACATTACACATACATACACCACACTACATAGATACAAACACACATACATACACAGCACCCACACATGCATACATACACATACC